TCCATCTCCTGGGTTCCAGCAATTCTCCTGCCTCTCCTGAGTAATTGTGATTACAGGTGCCTGTCACTATGCCTGGCTAATTTTTGTATTTTTAGTAGAGATGGGGTTTCACCATGTTGGCCAGGCTGGTCTCAATCTCCTGACCTCATGTGATCCAGCTGCTTTGGCCTCCCAAAGTGCTGGGATTACAAGCATGAGCCACCGTGCCTGGCACAAAAAGACACTTTCTAATTCGTATTGACAGGCCAGGATTACACCAATACCCTGATGCCAAGACAGGCAAAGGTACAACATGAACAGAAACAAACCAATACCCAACGTGAACATAGAAGCAAATGTCCACAGACGAAATACAGCAAATTGAATCTAGTAATACATAAAAAGATGATACACTGTGACCAAAGAGGATTTATCTCTAGAATGTAAGGTTATTTCAAATTACAGAATCAATGTGTAATTTACCATAAAAACAGACAAAAAATAAAACACTATTACCACAATAGATGAGAAACAAGTTTCACCATATTCAACATCTACTCCCAATAAAAATCTCATTAAACTAAGAGAAGGGAACTTCATCAAACCAAAAAAAGCATCTCTAAAGCACATACAGTGACATTTTACTTAATGATGAATGCTGAATGTTTTCCCTTTAAAATAGGAAATAAAGCAAGGTGTCCATTCTTCCCATTTCTACTAAACAGAATATTTGTGGTTTTACCCATTACAATATGTCAACAGAAAAAAAGAAAAAGAGTACAAGTTGCTAAAAGAGAAATAAGAGAAACACACACACAGTCTGTACTCCCGTCCCTGTTCTGCCTGAACAGGGCATACATTTTCTCATATATATTTTTGACTAGTGACAATTCTTTCTGTTTTAAGGTAAATTTATATTCTTTGTCCATTTTCCTTTTGGACTTTTTAAGTTTCTCATTTCAGAAGCTTTTTAACATTAAAAATATAGCCATTCAACTATTATTTGTTTTGGAAATAATTTTCTATTTCATTGTTTTGCATTCATTTTACAACTTATCTACATTTTGTTTTGTCCTACATGATTTTGAAAAATTTCCTTATAATCAGAATTATTGTTCTCTCATGAATTATGCATTATAAAAGCCTTTACAAATCTCAAAAATCTTACAGATAAAGATGAAAGGAACATATTCCTTAAAGAATTCTCACCATCAGAGTTCAAATGAACACAATGAGAAATTATCCAAAACACAATAAGCAATTTCCCCCAAGGTTAAAAAAGACAAAAGTAACAAATTGCAGAATGAGGCAAAGATTGCAGATATTTAAATTTTTAAGTAAAAAAAAATGTAAAATAAGTACTCTTAATAAATGTAAATACCCAGAAGAAGTTATTGTTAAGTGTAACAACAAATATTTTTAAAATATCAAAACTAATTTTGATGACCCTGAAGTAACTGAAGACCCCACACAGAATGTGGCACAGAGAAGGGAGGTGGGACAACATGGGTTCTGGTCCAGGCCCCACAAATGTGGCACAGAGAGGGGAACTGGGACAAGGTGGTTCTGGTCCAGGCCCCACAAGAGCAGATGCCAGGGCAGGACTCGCTGCACAGCAGGTTCTGCAAGGGACCCTGGGCATGCATGGGGGCGAGAGAAGCAGCAAGGCCATGGTAGGGAGGGGTCCGACACTCACAGGACGGAAGAAGCAAGGACTAAGTGGGAGCAGCCGGGAGGAGCTGGGCCCAGCGCTTTAGCCAATTTTTACCAGGCAGCTACTATGTGCCAGGCACTATTTCAGCCCGTCAAAAACTGTGGAAAAGAAAAAAATCAAGGCTCAAATTTTAGTGAAGTTAAAAACTGGCATATTAAATATATTTCTATTGTTAAAGGTGTAAATATTAGGAGTTGGTCCCAAGGCATACCGTATTTCAATAATAACATTATTTTTTTTTTTTTTTTTTTTTGAGACGGAGTCTCGCGCTGTGTCACCCAGGCTGGAGTGCAGTGGCGCGATCTCGGCTCACTGCAAGCTCCGCCTCCCAGGTTCACGCCATTCTCCTGCCTCAGCCTCCGAGTAGCTGGGACTACAGGCGCCCGCCACCACGCCCGGCTAGTTTTTTGTATTTTTAGTAGAGACGCCAGGATGGTCTCGATCTCCTGACCTCGTGATCCACCCACCTCGGCCTCCCAAAGTGCTGGGATTACAGGCTTGAGCCACCGCGCCCGGCCAACATTATTATTTCGTGTACACGTATACCAAATATAGATGGTAACCCTGGTCACCTCATTTACTACGTAAAGGTGTGCAAAGCATGAAAACGGACTTGCTCACCTTCCTAATACTTTTCCCAGAGGAACTAATGTTTAGAGAATTGTATATCATATAAAGAGTTAACTTTTTTGAGCATGCTGCCTTTCTTATCTGTTTGAAGCACATTTTTCTATTTAATGCAATTTTGAATTTTTTGGGTCATTCCATTTCAATTTTTACATAGCATATTTTCATTTTCAAAAGTGCTTATTTTGTGATGCTGCTGGAAAAATAGGTTTTAAATTCATTATGTTAATGTTAATGTTAATCATTTTCAAATAATGAAGTTTTTTTAAAAAAGTTCAAACCATAGTCTGATGATTAATGAAGGATAAATTAAGAAAAACTGCAGTTAAGTTTTTGAATAGTATCACACAAAGCAGGCACTCAAACCAGCTTTAGAATACAGGAGCAGCATGAGAAATAATGTTACCACGCCAAAAACCATCCATATTCACCTTTTTTGGTTTGAACTATTTGCAGTACCTCCAAATCCCCCATTAGTGGAAGGATCTGTGAACGTAGGATTAGCACAACATTTTGTCTTGCTGAATGGGCACACTCATTCTCTGATTGAAGGGATGACACTTATCTTTTGTTTTAACGAACTGTTTGTTTCATTTTTTCGATTTATGTGCCTCTCCTCAGTCAAATTAGAAGCCAGGACACAGCTCACCACATCTCCTTTGCAAAGGTATTTGTAATTTTCTTTATTTGGCTTCATTACTTAACATCACGAGGTTGAATAAAGCATATTTGATTTATTATTTTTTCTATTTAATTCAAAGATACAGTGAAAACTCAGCATAACCTACTTATTCAAAGACAGGCATAATCAAGAAATATGTTGATTCTATTTGTACCATGGATAAATTTCTTACTTCATCTAATTATTTTTCTGCATTGCAGAGGCTAGTATGGTTTCAAACAACGCAGCTACTCCAGTAGCTGGATACAGCCAAGGACACAAATGAAGAAGCTGAGAGTGATGTGGTTAAAGAGAAGACACAAGGCAGATCAGGGTCCAGAACCTTCACCACGAAACTCATGCTTTCTTGCATGGTAAGAAACTTGTCTTGGGGGCGGGCATGATGGCTCATGCCTAAAATCTCAGCCCTTTGGGAGGCCAAGGCAGGAGGGTCGCTTAAGACCAGGAGTTCAAGATCAGCCTGGGCAACATAGTGAGACCCCATCTGTACAAAAAGTTAAAACGTTAGCCAGGGGTAGTGGCATGTGCCTGTGGTTCCAGCTACTCGGGAGGCTGGGCAGGGGCATTGCTTGAGCTGGGCTGTTTGGGGAGCTCAAGGCTGCAGTGAGCTACGATCATGCCACTGCACTCCAGCCAAAAAACTAAAACTAAAATAAGAAATGTATCTTAAGTTACCAGTATTTTCACATCTCACTGAAGAACCAAGGAATCTAGGTTGAATGGTACAACTCCATCCTTCTCAATGGAAATTGTAAAATGTGATTTTTCCATCTGCTCACCTGGGAAGAAGTACTGCTGTTCTAAAAAGTAAATTACCCTCAGCAGCTTCACATGGAAGCAGCTTCACATGGAAGTGTGTGTTTTCTATAAACCCAGCCTGGCTGAAAGCGCTTCCTTTCTCTGAGCAAGCTCCGCTGCCATGATCGGTTCAGCACAGAGCCACACAGGCTGTCACGCTCTTAGACCCACTCACTGGGAACGTACTCACATGTCAGAATAGGGGGAAAATGAACTCAAAATGACATGAGAGATCTCAGGAAACAAAACAACAGACACAACATACGCCTAAAAATTAAGAAAAAGAATAAAATGCTCAATTAAAAGACATTGCAGAAAACCCAATAATTGAGAAATTCAACTGGCTAATCCTACCACTCTGAGAAAGAAAATGAAAATGTAACATTTCCTGGGCACACAGTGGTGTGTTAACTCCCAGCGCGGTACTAACGCAGACGCTACGTGATAGAAAAGTTCACAGACGTGGTTCATCTCCACAGGTGCGGTGGCTCAAGCCTGTAATCCTACCACTTCGGGAGCCTGGCCAACATGGTGAAACCCCAGCTCTACTAAAAATACAAAAAAAAAAAGCCGGAAATCGCTTGAACCCCAGAGGCAGAGGTTGCAGTGAGCCAATATCATGCCACTGCACTCCAGCCTGGGCCACAGAGCAAGACACCACCTCAAAAATAAAAAATAAAATAAAATCTAACAGTAGTTTCAAACCAACAGCCTCCCGGGGTGATAGCTTAACATATAAAACAAAATAAAGTTGGCTTTATTTACCATGATCATTTCTCATTTACTAGAAACTCTGGCAATATCAGTGAGATAAAGTTTTATATCAACAGAAAATGGCGATAAAATCAGAAATCATAAATTATTGTGATCAGCACTATCTACAGCAGCTGGCAGCATTCGTGGGAGCTGCCCGTCTAGGCGGGAAGTGACGGGAACAGACAAACCAGGGGCTGTGCCCTGGAGTGGCAGGGAGCAGGCGGGCAGGTGAGCGGTTCCAGGACCACGAGCAGGCAGTAGGAGCAGCCCCCTTCAGAACCAACAGCTGTGCCCGGGAACCCTCAGAGCTCTTCATGCTCCCAGCTCCTCCATGAGGCCAGAGTCCTCTGTCTGCATCCAGCTGAACCCTGAGTTCCAGGGCTCACCTGGGAGACAGCAGGAATCCAATCTCACCAACGAGAAAGTAAGGCACACATGACCTACCCTGAAAAGCCCCGTGCACTGAAGCATTCCCAAGAAAGGAGAGCAGGCAGCCTGAGCTCTCAGGAGAACTGCCGGGCCCAGAAGCCCAGCATTCCCCGCTGTGGGACTCTACCAGGGGACAGGCCTAGCTATCAGCTGGGATTCCCGAGCAATGCTGTCACCCTAGTCACAGACGCCTGAGCCAGTGGAGCAAGGACGGGTGCTGCTTTCCAGACAGAAGAGCAAAGGAACAAAGGAGCGTGTCATTAACAGAGGCTCCTCCTGTGGGAACACCTGCCCAAAGCCTCTCCACTGATACAGAAGAACCTTAAGCAGGGGGTTGACAGTAATTCATGGATATTTCTTAGCAAATTATGAAAATTATCATTTTATAATGAGAATGCTAAAAAGCAGGATAGAAAATTCTATCTCGAGGATGAGTTTGATTTACAGAATAAACACCAGAAAAAGCCAGAAGGAAATCCATGAGGTGCTAGTCAGGTATAGACCAGGTCACAGGAACATTCCTTCCTTGTACTTTTCCATCTCATATGCACTTTCAGTATAGATACCATGCCACTATTCATACAAACATCAAAGGAATAAAGGAAACATATTTACTCCAAAGAAGATGACAGATTCGAATCGTATCCCTGAAGGTTCCCTCTAGCTGCACAGCGGCACCCGAAACGCAAACTCCAGCCCCGGGTCAGCAAGGCAGGGCCTGCAGGATGCAATTCTGTGACCCCAGCCTTCTCCGTTCACTTTCTCCATTCGGCTCGAGGCCAGTAAAGCAAAAGCCGCCCTGAGACTTTGCACAGCCCACTGTGGTAACACCACACCCCAGGCAGCGCCCTGCACCAGGTGACCCTAGCGCAGCTGAACCCTGGACCTCCCTCCAACTCCAGGCCTGTGTGTGCGGACCCCTCCCCATCCCATTCTCCCTTCCTCCTGCCAACATGGAAATTACAAATCTAAAAGCATTCCGATTCCACCCTGATAAAAACAGAAGAATCTGTAGGTCACGATAAAATTTGATAAAGCTTTGGAAGAAAATAATTGCGATACATAAAGCTCATAGCATTTTCATAGATCTGTGCTGCTCCTCTCCTCAATTCAATAAGGAAGAGTTACATAGGAGAATGTTTACATCCCATCACTTACAAAGCTCGTAATTCACATATGCAGCTGTTTCCTAGTGGGTTTGTATCTTATTCTGATAGGAAAGCTTTCAGTTTACCTCCTTTTTTTCAGCTACTAGCTTTTCCTCTTTATTTGATTACTAAATTTACAGTATTATTCAACATAGAAATTAATTTTTTAATATAACTAAATCTTATATAAGGGTTATACATTACAAAGTATATTATGATTTGTTCTATTTCATTTTTGTTGCTACAAAGAACAAATTTTTTTATATACAGAGAAAGAGTGGTCTTATCTGTGTGTGTCATTATCCTTTATTATATTTTGTTATTAGCAGTTTCAGAGTTTGGTTCTAATTTCTTAACTCTTAGCTAAGCATCATTGTTTTAGATATTGTAGTATCCCAAAATTTTGACTCTCATAAGGCATGTTTGATACTACAACTCCTAACATCAAAATATTAAAACACGTAAGAAATAGTACATTTTACTGCACTACATCTAGAAAGCTAAAATAGAAAATAATTTGGAAGTCCACATGATTTTTTTCATATCTCTCTGGATTTCAAATGAACCACTTTTTAAAAAATACGATTTATTTAGATTATAATGTATTTTAATTACAAATTCATGTTCTCAATACCTTTCAAATTCTTAACACCAGTTTAGATAATGGTGACATCAGAGGTTTCTTTGTTTTCCTTTTTAAAGCAGTTACAGTATAGGTAATTGACAAAGCTTCTGCTAGTTCAGCTTCAATAAATTTAATGTCTATCTTTGCAGAGTTTTTTTTACGAAAAATCTATCTTGAAGCACCAAATCTGGAGAATATCACACAGTACTCTGCACGATCTCAACATCGTTCTACTGCTGTGTGTGGGGAGGGGCTGCATCAGCCGTTGCCATCTACTCGACTTACGAACCTGTTCCCATTTTGAACTACAACCTCAAGTACAATAAAACAGTTGTATATTCCTCCTGATTCTGATTTCCTAATTCCTGTTATCTTTTTGTCTCACAAGAAATGACCACTTAAAGGAAATGCATTTGGGGCCATTTCTCAGCCTTTGCATATGGGATAGAGACGTCTCTCTCACAATCAGACCCTCAGGGGCTGCAGCCACCATGGGGACCACCCCTCACCTGCCTTGTCTATGGTCTTCTGTGTAAGTGGGGAGCATCAGCAGTACCCCAGGGGTGTTAAAGGAATGAAGCCCTCCAAAGAGCTCTCAGTACCTAGTAGAGGTTAGCAATTAGGTAAGTACTTCTAGGGGTTCTGGGCTCAAATTCCCTATATTTCTAAGAAGATATTCCCTAAAAGCTGTATTATTTACCTAAAAAGACCGATTCGCTTCCCACGGCTGCTATGACAACATTTCCTCAAACTTAGTGGCTTAAAACAATGCACATTTATCTTCTCACAGTTCTGGAAGCCAGAAGTCCAGGATCAAATTCCTCCAGAGGCTCCAGGGAGCCTCCTTCCTGCCTCCTCTGGCTCTGGTGGCTGCAGGTGCCCCTGGCCTGTGAAAGCGTCTCCCCCGTCTCAGTACCAGCCTCGCCTTCCGTGTGCCGGCCTCCAAACTCCATCTCCTCTCACTTATAAGGACACGTGGACTTGTATTTAGGGGTCACTCAAATAATGTAAGGATCCTTCACCTAAGATCCTTAACTTAAAGACACATGTTGCACGACCTCATCTATAGAAGAGAGAGCACGTTTTAGCTGCCCTGTGCTGTTTCGTGGCTGCTTCTCTAGAATTTGCCTCTCAGGTAGTCAGGGCCCCACCGGCCTGGTCCGAGAGGTGTTCTACTCTATTTTTATCTTTAGCTTCCAGCTCAGTGTGTGGCAATTAATAGGTGCTCAATCATTCTTCTCTAAATTCTGGGTGCCTGTGTCTGCACGTACGTAAGGTGCATCATCATAAAGCACTTCTCCAAACAGCACTTAATCGTCGCCAAACCCCCATCCTTCGAAAGGAGGCCTGAGACGCAGAACTACTTCCCACCACCATTCCCCACCCCTCGCTCCCCCTCAAGCACGGAGGTCGTAAAATCTCTAGTGTTTCCGAGGAGGTAATACAAAGGCTGGAATTTCTCTACCTCGCTACAGACCATGAACCTTTTAGGAATAAAACCAGACTTGGATTTCTTTCAAGACCATACGACCTATGCTAACTACGACCAAGTCAGCACACGTTTCTAAAAACACTGCATCTACCTCATCGTGTCTAAAAACACAGCATCTAACTCATTGGGTTCTGGATGTCCCCAGGTTTAAGGTATAAGAAGTAATTTCATATTCCTCAGTACATAATGAAAACTTAATAATGTAAAAAGGCAAACTGATAGAGCCATTTGGTAAAACATAATTATCTGCAGAGAAATCATCAAGGATAATCTTGAGCAGGATACAGTTGAGAAACAGAATAAATTATATTTACCATTAAACTTATGCTGATGTGAAAAATTAAAATCAAAACATAGCTATTCTAAAAATACGAAAGCACAATTTTACTTAAATCCAAATAAACTGATCATAAATACAAAATAAATTCTCAGCTCAAAAACCAGAAACGGAACTTTCTCTCTTGTTCATAGAAACACATACATCTAATTCAGATATATAGTTATTGGCTCCACTGACTCATGGGTCAGCACCACACAGCGGGGCAGAACCGAGTTCCCCAGGCTGTCCTTCTGAAAGCAGCCCCTTCCACAGGCTCACAGCAGCATGGGACCCGGGTCCCACTTCCCTTCTAGACGCCCGACCGAGATGGGCCCATTCACAGCCACAGGTGGACTGGGGCCCTGCGGGAGCAGGTCCTCTGCAGGAACGGGCGTAGGTTGGGGGGCAGGTGCTGCGCCAGGTGAGATGCAGCCTCCAGGAGAAGCAGCTGAGCAAAGGCCCGAGGCAGGCAGCGCTCCACACGCCCAACCGAGGTGTGCAAGGCCCCAAGAGAGGAAGGATGCGCCCGCGGGGCCTGAGGTTATGCTCCAGCCTGGGAAGGACAGAACACAACCCTGTCCCGGCCTGAGCTGCAGAGAGTTTTGGAAAGGAGCACGCAGAATGCCCAGCAGGGGCAGGGCAGGGGCAGGGCAGGGGCATGGGTAGGTGCAGGGCAGGGGTAGGGGTAGGGCAAGAGCAGGGGTAGGGGTGGGGGGTGGTGGGTGCAGGGCATGGACAGGGTAGGGGCAGGGGCAGGAGTAGGGGTGGGCACAGGGGTAGGGGCAGGGGCTGGCATAGTCACAAGGGCAGGGGTGGGGCCAGGGCAGATGCAGGGGTAGGCGCAGGGAAGGCTCTGAGGCAGGGCTGGGGACAGTGGCAGACGCGGGGCCCTTGGCCTCCCGGGCACCAGATTCTAAAAGGAGGGTAGCTGGGACCCCAGACTACCGGAGGCCTCCCCGATCGGAGAGAGAGGACTTGCTGCCAAATCCAGAAGAAGTGATGATTTTGCTCAGAATAACTGGCAGCTGTATCCCACTTCACAAATGCACAAACGCAGATTATTTTCTAAACACCAGCTCAACCAAAGAAATGTTCTCCCATGGAATCTGAGTGTGTCCCCGTGGCTGTGCCCTTACCTATCATAATTATTAACTACACAATAAGACATCTGCAACTATAAGCATTCTTTACAGAAGTGGAATGTAATTCTTGCACAGGAGTTTAAACTATTTTGATGAAGGTAGGCGTAATCACAGTGATTTCCTGGTCAGTCCATACTTAGAGGCCACTGCCACTGGCTGGATACAAGAAGACAGTTTGCCTTCTGGAGCTGGGGTCCAAATAAAAACAAGAGGAAAAGTAAATTTATAAAATGGAGGCTAAAAAGCACATGATATTGAGGACACTTGATTCTAATGTTCTATGTGATTGTTTTTATAATAACACAATTCGGTGCTATCATCAAATGATGTTCACCCAAATGTCAAGTGAATGCTGGTGCCTCCCAAAGTTGACACTCAGAATCTTGACAGTGGAGGGGCACCTTTTTCATCAACAGTAATGCGGGTTATTGCAAAATAACAGGCCACGCAGTGATCTAGGTTTCAAGTCAAGAGAAGTGAATGACATACGGTTTCTTTACAAAGGGTAACAGATAAAACAGATTTAAAACTCACCAGTTTAGGAGTTTGCAGCCTCTGAAGTTTAATACTTTATGCACTAAAAATATAACTTTACATTTTATAAATGTTTAGAACACTATCCCCTAAATAAGAAGCATATTCACTTTCTTAAATCCAAAGTCTTTGCTAACTTAAAATGTTAGTTTATAATAATATTTATAAGATGTAAAAATGTAGACTCCTTAAAAAGCAAACTATTTTACCATGTAATTCTAACTGCAAAATCACATCCTCATATTCACAGCACTGTTAATAGTATTTATTAAAATGTGCAAGGGGGGAAAACAGGAAGGTTCAGGCTGATGGGGTGAAGAAGCAACATGGTCCCTGGAAGGCAGCCAGAACTGGGTGAGCTTTTGGGGGGCCTTCTTGTTTAGAGGGGCAGAGGATGAAGAGCCAGAGGCTGCGGTCAGTCCTTAGGTGAGGGATTATGCCCACATAGGGGACCTTAGCATTTAATACAGAAATAGAAAAGATAACCTCGGCTTTCTGAGTTTTACATCGAACTTTAGTATGGACTGGGGGAAAGTGACATCTAGTGTTAGCTGAAAATAATCCAAAGTCGACTATTCAAAACTACAATCATGACAACATGCAGTAACCAGTTGGACAACAGTAACAAGTACACACCAGTTCAAGGTACATTTTCCATGAAATCCTGAGTGCATTTTTCCTCCAAAAGCATGTTTTTAACCTTCCTTGTTGTGTCTCACTCAACAAAAATACCTCTAGAATCTAATTGAAGAGCGAGTTTCTGAGGGATCTGGAATCAGATGCAAAGTGACCTTCAGAACCCAAGCACATAGTCCACAGGTGAGAAGCCAGAGCCAGAGAGGATGGCCGTTCCCAAGGTGGGGGTTATCTGAGCTCCCTGGAACCCTGATCTCCCTCCTTCCCTCTCCATTTCCACAAGCACCTGCCTGTGCCTGCCCCTTGCCCAGCACTGCAGGAGCTAGGGGTGTGCAGCAGAACCTGAGAGCAGCTCCTCTTTGGGGTCCCTCGTGCGCCTCTTGTCACATGCTACATGAGCTAACAGGAAAGCCAGAAAATCACACTGCTAAGTAAGTCTATCCTGAACGTACCCATTTAGTAAATAGAGGGCCTGTGGCGCAAACACATCCTCTCTCACTGAGAATTGCAATGCCAGCCCCTCCGCCAACTCGCTCAGAGCCTCATGGGGTATCTTGGGAAGGAGATCTAAATTAAAACTGAAGCTTAAATGCCTTGTCTACAGTCATCAGCCATAAAGATATCCAGAGACAAGAAGTTGCTGCTTTACATACACCATTCGGAAAACAAGGCAATTTTAACATCCCATATTGGGGAGAGGGGGAGGCACACTTTTCTTAATTGAACCTCGTTCAAATACTTATTGGGGAACATGTCTCCATGTCTCCTGGTAAAATCAGGTAATTGCCTGCTTTATAATGCATGAGTTTTGCTTATGATGTCATAGACATCAACAGAAATTCTACAATTGAAATTAAAGATGAGTCAGCAAGGATGAGAAACAGACCCAAAGCATAGAAGGAATGGGTAACCTTCTTAGGAGGTCAGAGGCTTCATTCATCTCATGCAGCAATTCCTATCTGTAAACAGATGATTAAGTGGTGCCCTTAGCAAATGCACTTTTAAAATGACCTAATGTGCTCTCCCCTTTCAGTGGGCAAGCTCATCGTATAAACGGGCATGTTCCTAGCTCATGTCAAGGATTCTTCCCGTGCCCCAGACAGAAGTAGGGCTGTCATTTAAAAGCAGCAAATATGCTGTAAACATCAACCAATAGTAGTCTTTGAAGCTACAAGCAAGACACACTTAGCACATTGTACTGAGGGTTGTCTGTCCGTGGGATTTATCACGGACAGACAAAATCCAGGTATGGTCAGAGACAGAGCTCCATGAACTGACTTAACTTAGAAAAAGACATCGGGAACAGGCACGTGAAAGGGGACACAAGACAGTTCTGCTACTGAACAGGAGACCTTCAAACATGGCCAAATTCCATGATTCAGACAAGGAGTCATGATAAAGAATGTGCACAGTTTCGACTCCAGATAGAAAAAAATATGACTAGAAAGGTAAGATTTAGAAAAGACTTTCATCTTTTTCCAGTTAAAAGCACCAAGTTCTCTCCACTGAAATGATGAAATAATTACACAAGTTGAATAATATTATGCAGTTATGGTAAGAAAATAATTCTGCACAGTTGTCTCTGCCATTAAGCAAGGATGACATTGTATGCTAAGAACATTCAAGACAAACCTGCCAACACCGATACTTAACAGATTCGTTTTAAATAAATAAGAATCTGAGCTAACATGACCATGTCTAATGTCTAAGGTAGGCTAAGGTGTCTAAGGTAGGCTCAGCACCTACCTAATTACTTATGACTGCAAAGTTAGGAGTCGTGGTCTTAAAACGCTCCATCTTATTGTAATAATTGGCTTCCAACGCTGAAAAAAAAGTTTCTTTCAACACAATTCAGATAGGCTGTTTCAAATAATCAAGGTCCTTATTACAAAGAAAGCACCAATCACATCTTGTAGCAAACAGGTGAGCAGAGGTCACCCTTGACTGGAAAACATCAAATTCAGCACCTTAATTAACACTGAGCACAAATGAGAACATTTACTAGAATACGCGCAGTTGCTGTATTTGTTGACGTTATTGCCAATAACTCATCAAATGGGTCAATTATGAAGTATGATGAATCCACTTCAAAGCTTCTGCTATAATTACAATGATTAAAAACAAGACTTGCTGCAAGAATGTCTCGAGAAAAACGCACAATTCCTAACCACGGGAGGACATCATTTTAAAGCCGAAGGCAGTGACCAGAGGGAAAGCTGTGATTCCAGAGCGCCTGCAGTTTTTACTGCAGTTTATTTCCAGGTAATCCCCGCGTATTTTCTCGGGTTTGATTACCATGGGCAACAGTGGGATGGCTATTCATGTTACAAAGTACGTCAAGAAATAAACACCCACATTTTACATGAAATTTTTCATATTTTGTAGTAAAAGCCCAGAAAGGTACGACTTGAATGAAGATGCATCTATCTCCATAATTTTTTTTTAACATCACACAGTAGCTACAACCACTGTCCTACTTTAGAATCGTTATTATGACAATAGGAATGTGTAGCAGCCCTCAGCCTGTGGCCTTCTGAACCATCTCTCAGCTGTCCTATTCCTGGTGGCTCCGGGGACTGGGAGCTCCTGGGGAAGGAATCCTAAAGGAGTGGTTGTCAACGCATTTTCATGAACAGCCGCGCTCCCAGGCAGCTTCCTAGGGCTGGGGTGGCCACGTGCTCCCTTAAACTGTTTTCACAACTTAGGGCTGTGCTGTGGGTGGCAACTTGAAGGTTTCCAAGAACTTTTGGTTTTTCTTTGAACTAATACTTGTTTTCTGTCAATCAATAGTTTAGTTATTTAAAAGTAAGAAGGTGGAGAGGGAGTTATTTAGGGTAAGAACTAGAATAGACTTCAAAAAAGAAAACCGTATTACCCAGTTGGCGCCCCAGCGGCTCCCCGAATGGCCAAGAGCCCCCAGCACCTGCCGAGGCCGCGCCACGCACCCGGCCAGGCTCACTCCAGAAGGCTGCAGGGGGGACGCTCCGGTCCGCACCGCCGCCTGGGCCCAAAGGAGCCGCTCCTGGGAAGGAATGTGGGGCCGATCTCAAATTCCAAATTCTGGAAAGCGTTACCTCCCACGCAGTTTAGGGAAGCCCGTGCACCCCAAAACCAAGCCTTGCAAGACACCCGAAGAGCAAAGCCTGCAAGTTTCCAGTAAGACACTGCGCTGGAGGGAGCAGAGCGGCCAGGGGGCGCGTGCCCATTGCGTCCCGGGGCTCCGGCGTCCACCCTCCGACCAGCCGCCCGCGGAGACAGGGAAGGGGTCGCGGGGAACGAGGTGGGCGTGGAGGGAGACGGGCGCGAAGGAGAAGGAAGCGGGCCGGGGTGCAGGGGCGCAGAGGGGCCGCACTCACCCGCGCAGGCACCAGCAGGCAGCCCGGACGTCCGCGGGGGGCGGCCGGGGGCGGGGGTCCCTCGGTGCTCATCGCTACCCCTGCGGCTGGGTCCGCGCTCCGGGCCGGCCGAGCTCAACGCCAGGACCCCGCCCTGGAGCCAGGAGCCTGGCGTCCGCGCCCCTCGGCCGGCTCCGGCTCCAGCTCAGGCTACACCCGGGCGCGGAGCTGGGGAACCCGAGCTGCGCCCGCCGCCCGGGAGCGCCGCCCACGCAGACCCGCCCCGGGTGAAGGAGGGGCCGGGCGCGCACCCGCGGGGAGGGCAGCGAGCGCGGATCCGCGGGAGTCGGGAAATGGGCGCTCCCACGGGGCGGGAAACCGGCGCGAGACTCCGGGGAAAGTGCCAGGATGGGGGGACAGGGGCGCTCCCGCGGGGGTGGAGGGGGCACCATCGCGGGGCCGGCGGGGCAGGGGCCGGCGCACGAGGCTGGAGGCGGGGAGCGCGCGCTTCTCCCCGGGCTGGGTCGCCGAGGTCCGCGGCGCGCGGCGGCGGCGGTGGGTGGGGGGGAGGGGGGCACCTCCGCTCCTTTGGGGCGCAGACGGGCGCGCTGTGGACCGGCTTGACGACCCCTCCTGGCCGCCCCACCTCCCTGGCCAAAGGTTCTCAGCTTCTCATCGGGGCATTTCCAGTCCACAGCCTCGAGGCCCGTGGGTCCTCCCGGGCCCTCTGAAGCCCCCACACCTGTGCCCGCCGGCCGCATCCTCAGACCTTTCCCCACCGCGTCTCCCCGGCCCTTGGAGAAACAGCGCAGGGCCCGAGGATGTCCTGACCCAGAGAAAAGATACAGAAGCCCCAACTTCCCCAACCCCGCTCCCCTCCTCCTCCTCCCACCCTCCCTTCCCGCCCCCAAAGCTCGGGCCCCCCATCCCGCCTGCGGTCCGTGGAGTCTCCCGGACCCTGCGAGGACCCGGCGCTCGGCGGTGCCTTCCTGGGGCGCATGGGGCTGGGGCTGGAGCGGGGAGACCGGGTGGGGAGGGGACCCCAGATCTCAGGCGCCCGCGGAGGCGGCGGTTCCCGCTGTTCATTCAGGTTTGTGCCAAAAGGAGCCTCACAGATGCGGTATTGGGTTTGGTAGACTCAAACCGTCCCGTTTTAATGTAAATGAAAGTAAGTTTAGGATAGATTCCAGTGCGGCGGGGGAGTGAGGGGGCTTACAAGGCTTCCCACTTTTTAAAAATGTGGATATTTTCCTCCCTTTCCAAATCCTCCGGCCCAGGCACGAGCGCGCATCGCGGAGGCCGGGATGCCGATTTCATTCCCGCTCCACGGCGAGGAAAAGCAGCGAAATCGGAGGTCTTCAGAGGTTAACCCTATCTAGGAACAGAATGTGACGCATTGTAAACAAATAAATATTGAAAAATCGATGTTAAACACTTTACTTTTTCTGACTCCGACTTGCTTGACCGCTGAGCTGACCTGGGTTTCGAACACAGACGCCTTCCCCATTTCTCCGTTCTCTGTATTCCTGTTGAGCCTGCACGGCAGTCGGCCAGCACTTCTTAGCACTCGGTTTACCAGAGGACGAGCTCTTGAATCGCAAAAATCAGGTCTTTCTATACCTGGCTCAGTGCCTCTTACAAAGTATGCTTCTTGGGTGAATTGGTAAGAAATATTGTACTACTTTTTATTTGTAGAAAAAACCTAGAATAAGAAAGGAAAAGCACAAGAGATTATTGTTTGCCTTCAAGTTGCATTTTTAAAAGAGCGTGCATATAATCTCTGAGAAATTAAATGTCTCCAAATACACAAAGATATTGTCTCATTGACTCGAAAAGGGACATTTATTCCAGGACCTGAAGAAGGAAAAACAGCATGTTGCATGCATGAATGTTGACTTTGAGAGAAAAGTGTTTGTTAAAATTTTATCATTAATGAATAAACACATATATTTTTGTTTTCAGACCAAAGGTAATTGTTAATTCATTTATAAAATAATGTAGTTTTGGCTGACAATCCCTGGAATCCTTTCTATAATAAAATGTTGTGATTCCAGATCTTAGGCGCTCTGGGGCTACTTTTGAAAGGCTGATTAATGCAAGTTTTAACTGCATATCTGCTTTTATGCATCTGTGTTAGGACTGCACATAAGAGTTATTTTGCTTTATTTTAAATACTAGGGTTCTACTGCAATAACAATAACAATAAAAAGTAAAACACTGACTATCCTGAAACTCGGCGAGGGAATGTCCCCCATGAGGTTACCAAAATTCAACTTTCTGGTTTTTGTGATGAGTATAGCTTTGATTCTGAGATGTGTCTAAAATGAGTTGCAGTTAGTGTCTCTTTATTAACTTTTAACTTTGAAATAATTCTGAATTTACAGAAACTTTGTGAATGTAGTACAAAAAACTACAGTAACCCCTCATCCTCAGGGATATGTTCCAAGACCCCCAATGGCTGCCTGTTACCGTGGATAGTACTGTGTGTGTATATATGTGTATATATAATATGTATATACATAATATATGTATGTGTTACATATGTAGATATATATGTATATATTATATATGTATATTATATGTGTACATATGTGTATATATTATATGTGCATATATGTGCATATATATGTATATAGTATATATGTATATATTGTATATGTTATATATCATATGCATATATAACATATAATATATACATATATAGTATTTATTATATATTGTATATATTATATACACATAATATATAATATATACTATACATGTAATATATACACATATATGTATATATTATATATTTATATATTATGTTTATTCCTGTGCATACATACTGGTAATACAGTTCAATTTATAAATTAGGCACAGTAAGAGATTAAAGCAATAAATAAGTAGAACAATTATAACAATACACTGTGAGAAGACCTATGTGAATGCCTAATCTCTCTCTAAAATACCTTACACTGCACTGTACTCACCCTTTTTTGGATGATGTGAAATGATAGGATGCCTCCTGCGGGCTGAGAGAAAGTGAGGTCCGTGGCGCAGGCATTGTGATGGCATTAGGATGCTACCGAATGTCCAAAGAGCTCAAAAGGAGATCATCTGCTCCCTGTGATCCTGGATCATCCAACCAGGATGATATTGATGTTTGGGGATCGTGGATAGTTGAAAATTTTTCCAAAATCTTGGGAAAGAACAGTGTAATTAGGAGGTGTCTCTCATTTTAACTCATGAGAGGAGAGACCCTCTCATGTTGTTTTACATTGTTTTATACGCAGAAAAGGAAAGAGAAGCGAAACTAAAGGCAGGTAGCCTGGCACCTAGGAACCAGATCCGAAACCAAGGCCTGGGCCTGCCTGACCTAAGCTTGGTAGTTAAAATTTGACCCCTGACCTAGCAACTGATGTTATCTGTAGATTCCGGGCATTGTATGGAAGGACATTGTGAAACCTCCCGTTCGGTTCTGTTTCACTCTGACCACTGGTGCTTGCAGCCCCTGTCAGGTACCCCCTGCTTGCTCAATCGATCACGACCCTCTCACGCAGACCCCCTTAAAGTTGTGAGCCCTTAAAAGGGACAGAAGTTGAGCACCTGAAGAGCTTGGATTTTAAGACGCTAGCCTGTGGATCCTCCCTGCTGATTAAAGCCACTTCCTTCACTGTCTCAGTGTCTGAGGGGTTTTGTCCGCTACGTTCCTTGGTTCCCTGACTGGGAAGTGAGGTGATTAACAAACGGTGGAGGCAGCTCCTTAGGCGGCTTTAGACTGCCCTGTGGAACATCCCTGCGAGGGACTCTAACCAGCCAGAGTGACACGGATCCTGAGAGCGCTCCCGGGTAGGCATTTGCTCCAGTGGGATGCCTCGCCAGAGCAGCGTGTGGCAGGCCCCCTTGGAGGATCAATGCAGTGGCTGAACTTCAGGAAGGAACTGGCACTTGGAGTCTGGACATCTAAAACTTGGTAAGACTAGTCTTTGGAACTTGCCCACTCCATTTGAGTGGAATCGTGGCCTGATCACCCACGGTGTGCCTTTATCAGCACTTTGGTTTTGGTTTTGACTTGGTTTGAATTGCTTGACGGGATTGGTCTTGGGTATTTACCTACTCCATTTGAGTGGAAGTGTGGCCTGATCACCCACAGCGTGCCTTTATCGGCACTTTGGTTTTGGTTTTGGTTTTGACTTTGACTTTGACTTGGTTTGAATTGCTTGACAGGATTGGTCTTGGGTATTTGCCTACTCCATTTGAGTGGAAGTGTGGCCTGATCACCCATGACGTGCCTGTACCGGCACTTTGGTTTTTGTTTTTGACTTGGCTTGGATTTCTTGATACTTTGGTTTTGGTTTTGACCTGGCTTGGATTTCTTGATTCTCTGATTTTGATATTGATTCTGGTTTGGCATAAACTGTAAACGTGTGTGTGTGTGCGCCCTTTTCACCCATTCTTTGTTTTGTGGTGTGCATGTGGTGTGAGTGTGGTGTTTTGTCTCGAGGAGACATGGGTCAGGCACAAAGTAAGCCCACCCCACTAGGAACTATGTTGAAAATTTTCAAGAAAGGATTTAAGGGAGATTACGGTGTTACTATGACACCAGGAAAACTTGGAACTTTGTGTGAAATAGACTGGCCAGCATTAGAGGTGGGTTGGCCATCAGAAGGAAGCCTAGACAGGTCCCTTGTTTCAAAGGCATGGCCCAAGGTATCCTGTAAGCCAGGGTACCCAGACCAGTTCCCGTACAACAGCTGGTTTTAGACCTCCTTCCCCACAACAGTAGTTAAGAGAACAGCAGCATAAGTGGCTGGCAGAGGCAAGGAAAGACCAGCAGAGAGAAAGAGAGGAAAGAGACAGAGAGAAAAAGAGGCAAAGAGAGAGAGGAAAAGACAGAGAGGAAGAGGCAAAGAGACAAAGGAGGAGTCAAGAAAAGAGAGAGAGAAAGAGAGAGGCAGAAAGAGAGAAAGAGAGAGGCAGAAAGAGAGTAAGAGAGGCAAAAGAAAAGTCAGAGAGAGAGACAGAAAGTCAAAGAGAAAAAGAAAAAGAGAAAGAGAGAAATATTCAAGTAGTTAAGAATAAAACAGTATACCCTATTCCTTTAAAAGCCAAGGTAAATTTAAAACCTGTAATTGATAATTAAAGGTATTCTCAGTAACCCTGTAACACTGTAATACCACTTTGTTGTCAGTGTAAACAAGGGCGTATCCCGAAAGCACTGAGGCCTTCCTATCAA